TGGCTCACTAAATAAGAATCATATTGACAGGGCCAGGTATAGTAGCACACAGTGCTGCAAGTCGCAGGAAAATGTAAGGGAATTCAGCTACTATCACAAAAGCTACTACATGGAAAAGTCAAGAGCTTCTCCAAAGGTCAAGCCACGGCTTAAGAAGTCTTGGTGATAGTTCAGCTACATATACATGTATATTAGCTGGTTCCTGAAATGATTTTTCTTGTGTGCTTCCAAGAACTCCTAATAGTGTATTTATCTAAAATACCTATCAAGCATCCAAGGCCAAACGAAACAACACCTGTCTCCTAGGTCAGGCAGATAGCTTTATTTCTTGTGCAATTTAGGGTGAGACCCTCCTTTCTTATACAACCTTACTAATAGGCCCCTAACTTCTTCCCTAACCACTTCTCGGAATGTAGACTGAGCACACAGATCCCCTTTTTGATATACTAACCAGTCATTAGCACTCAATTGACCTCCTCTTTTACCTCTCCCATTCTGGATTGTAAAAGAAAGCCTGGTGGTTACTACCTGAGGAAAATTCTTATGACCCCATAGAATTCAAGCAGGGTGACCTTGCTCGGCCAAAGGATTGCTATTGGGTTTATAACTGGATTCCTGGGAGACTTAGGAGGAACATGGAGAACTGAGAGACTGAGAACGGAGAAGGATAAGGAGGATTTTGACCAGAGAGTACGTGTGGACGAGATGGAAGATGAGGAAGAGTCAGATGGGAAAGTTCTAGCTGGGTAAGAACAAGATGAAAAGGACCTAGATGAGGCAGAATTAAGACAAGATAATTAAGATAGAACTTAGAGGGAGCATTAGATAAATGTAGAGAGAAATCAGGCAAGAAAGGAGCTAAAAAACGAGAGCAGAATAGAAGCTGTGTAGAGAGAGAACTGAATTAGAACAATAAAGTGTATGGACTAAGGAGTTTCGTGTACAGAGATTCATTTCTTCTCATCAAAGATTAATTATCAGCTGGTTGCAGATTCTTCCCAGACCCTGGGAGGGGACTATGGAGGGGCTGGACCCCCATAGTCCCCGATAACACAGCTTTAATCCCAGTGGCAGAGGCAGGCAGAACTCTTTGAGTTCAAGGCCATCTGGTATTCATAGAAGTTCTCATCCAGCCAGGCCTACATAGTGAGACCCTATTTCAAAAAACTGAAAAAACAAATTATATTGACTTT